AATGTGTGCCTGCTAGCCAGGTCAGGCAGCCTAGAGCGTGATGGATGCAGGCTTTATGGGTCATGAATTGGGTCATGTATGAAACTGGTCCTAAACTGGCCTTGAAGTAACAGAAAATGTAAGCAGAGATGAGGGGAAGGTCTGGGTGCAAAGGTAAGACTTGGCAAATACCTATGTTGTGTGTTGACTGATGCAGACAAAACACAGTATTCATTTTCCCAGAAATTGGAGGGAGAAAGAAAAGAAAAAAAGAAAGAAAGGTGTAAGTATAGGATATATTTCTTTGCATAGCATATAGTTATGTGCTTTTTGTTTTGTCCTAGAAAATCAGATCAAGATAAGGTGATAAGAAACTGAACTAGATTAAATGGCCATGATACTTTAGCAGAGAGAGATCTTTCTAGTGAGATACTGGATGTGTGTTTGTGTGTGTGTGTGTGTGTGTGTGTGTGTGTGTATAAAACCATTTTAACTGTGAATTTTCACATCAATTCCATGGTCATAGCACAGGTATCAATGCTATGTTGCTTTCTTTCTTTCCTGTCTGTGTGTATATTTAAGGTTTTATACATAGTTCTAAGCATGGTATAACCACAGTTACGTATTCTGCCTTTCTGTTTCATATGATAAGCACTTTTCACATGTTACTTTATAATCTACTGAAGGTTTTAAGTAAGGCACACATAATGATTGCATTGTCTGTTGAATCAGGCAATGGCAGGTTTTTATTAAGGTACACATTTTAAACTGTGGTGATTTTATAATGTGTAACATTCTCATGACTTTCTGTGTAGATTGCTGGTGTAGCCTGCATCCAAAGATTTCCCTGAAGCTTCCTGTTCCATTAGTCAGTGGAAATCTTATAACTAAATATTTTCTCAGAGCTTTCTTGATTTCTTTCCAGGCTGAGTTAGGTAATTTGAGATCTCTTACATGTGAGGGATTGTTCGTGGGGATGAATGTAACCCACAACCTAGGCAGGGTATGATGTATGAGTCTAAGGGTCCCACTGCAAGCTGGCACTGCAGCTTCTACAAAACAAAAGCAGAGAAGCCAGTCTGCTGCCTGTTGGGTTTGTGGGGCTCTGAATGGCCAATTTGCTGGGATTAACAGAGATCTGGCTTAATAAATGTGTCTTCATGCCTAATATATTTGAGTAAATGAACCTTAAAATACTTGATTTAATTTAGCATTGGTCATCCTAAATAAGTACACAATGAAGAACTCAAGGATCCTGTTGTCTGTTCCAGCTTTTCATGGAAGGTGAAATCAACCATGGTGCCATAACTGCTGATGAAATACAAAAGCAATTTGGAAAACAAAATTAGCTTCTGCATTTCCCTAGCATGGATGTCTGTGGCCTGCCACCCGGAGACCAAGCATCCCCATCCAGCAGGGTTTGTTTGCTGTGGCTCTCTGCCCTGACTGGCTGGTGAGATGGCATACATTCACCCACCCCTGATGGTGTCCCCTTGTCCTTTAGCTCTGCATCCTTTCTGGCTCTGGATTCCAGGGAAGCAGCCAGTTGGAGACAAAATCAGATTTGCTAGGCCGGGAGGAAGGCACCTTCTCTCTGAGGAAAAGCTGTTGCTCAACAAACATGCCAGAACCAGCCTAGTCTCAGGATAAGAAGAGTATGCTGAAAAGGAGAGAGGGCTAAAAGTCCCAAGGAGAGCAGAGAAAGATGACAAAGGAACAGTGAAGGTTTCCTAAAGTGAAAACTAAGAAGGGAGAAAAGTGCCTTAGTGCTGAGGAGAGGAAGGACCATCGAGGACAGCAAACCAGAACAGGACAGTGTGTGATAGTAATGGCCAGAATCATTCAAAGAGTCAGGAAAAATAAAAGCATATTGATTACTCTTTTTTAAAATAAATTTTCACATAGTATTTTTTGATGAGAAATTTCAATATATAATAAAGTTGAAAGAATTTTCAATAAACATCCATCTACCCACCACTTGTAGTCTGCAATTAATATTTACTGTAGAATTTTTCTTGCAGGTATCACTATCTTACCATCCCTAGCCATCCATCCATCTGTCATCCATCTATCTATCTATCATCTATCATCTATCATCTATCTATCTATCTATCTATCTATCTATCTATATATCTATCATCTATCTATCTATCTATCTATCTATCTATCATATATCTATCATCTATCTATCTATCATCTATCTATCTAATCATCTTCTATTTATCTATTATCTATCTATCATCTATCTATCTATCATCTATCTATATTCATTAATCTTGATTTTTTATTCATTTTGAAGTAAATTAAGGAAGTTTATATACATTGTTCTAAATGATTCAGCTTGCAAATCCTCAAATATAGTTCACAGTTTCTTAATACTTTTTCTTCTTAGGGAATATAAAATGTATTAACAGTGGAATTCATAAATCTGCAGAGTGTGTTTATAGAGTCTGATAAAGGTAGTCAGTTGGATAGCTCACCTGTGAGAGCATCATATCACCATCATTCTGGAAATTTCTTTTATGCTCCTCTTAAGCAACATCTACTCCAGTCTCTTCCCCACCATGGATTGGATTTGCCTGTTAAAGAACATCATAAAAATGTAATTATACAGTATGAGTTGACGTTTTTCACTGCTCATGATTTTGACATTCACATTTATGCATGTTTATGTGTATCTATATATGCAGATATCAATATTCTTTTTTATTTGATTTACAGAGAAATGATGGTTAATTTATATATTTTCACTGATGAATCTCTGGGCTGCCTACATTATCTGCTGGTATGAATTAGCTGCTATGAATTTTTAGGAAGTGGACCTTTGTTTTCTCTTAACTAAATTCCAAGTACTGCAGTTGAAAAGCATGAAATATACATGACACAACCTCTTTGGAAGAATTTCACACACAATTTCTTATGGAGTTAAACTTTTCCAGAAATGGTTATAGTGCTTTTGTATTTTCACCAAAATTACATAAAAACTTCAATTTGCTTTGCATTTTAACAATATTTGATATTATAATTTATAAACAACTTTGAACCATTGTGCTAGGTACATTTAGGAATCTGATTTTGTTTCCAATGAGCTGAAAATCTTCTGACATTCAGACTTAATCTACTAAGCAGTACAGGGTAGAAATGTTGCCTAAACCCATATATCAATCCCTTAGATTCTAATTCCTGATGAGTTCCCAAAGATAACCTAATCCCACACCATCATTGTTTTTTTTTTTACCCATAAGAACTATGGCTTATCCTTTGCTACCATCTAATCAGCCCAGACAGTAGATGTATTATTTCTATACCAGATAATTAGTATGTATAATTGTTTCTAGACCAGGGAGGAGAAGACTTCTCTAGTAACTTCATAAGCACTTGCCTATTCCAAGATTCTAAAGTCCATAATTTTAACCCCTTCTTCAAATAAATAGATAGACAGACAGACAGATAGATAAATACGTGAATAGAGGACACAAAATGGGGACAGATTTTGCCCAAGGACATCTATGCAAATAGTAATAGACTAGAATTTTAAGTCATGTTCTTGCTATATTAAATTTTGCAGTGATGTGGTACACATGTTGTTCCCTCATTGCATGGATTTGGTGGCTCTGTCTTTCCATGGCCATCACTGGCTTTGTTGTGATGCACTCAACTTGACTTCAGCATCCTCAAAATAAGATTAAACAACCATGGTATAATGGTGTATATGCAGACCCAATTCCACTTCTTCCCTTATTCAACTAAAAAGAACAATCCTGTATGTGCCATAATGAAGCCATTTATGGAAAAATGCCTGTGCTTTATGGTTTGTCTTCAGGTGTGGAAAAGAAGGAATCGTCTGTATTTTCTTCCTTTTTATTCAGCAAACACAGAAGAAAGGCTACCAATAGCTTGGGAGAGTATTCTGATTGTGCCCAACTAACTATCAACCTGATCATAAAATACTGCTTTAGAATTCAAAGCAGAAGAAATTGAATGATTGTTTCATTCCCTGTGAATGTATTCAGACAAGCACGGAGACACTGTGAGAGCTGACCCATACACCTCAGAGGGCAGCTCTGTGCATACAACAAGCTACATTATTATTCTCTTTCTTGTTGTGCCGACTTGCAGAAGGGAGAGGGGCTTTATTCCTTCCTCTTTGTAGTGCTTCTTAATCACTAGCCTTAGATCAGCCTCTGACCGGTATGGTTTGTTTTCCAAACCACAGACAACTTGAGAGGGCCTGAACTTTAAGATGACCACTGAATACTGACTCTCCAGTCTGAAGATTTACCTTCTCCTCTTTCCTATAAGCACCTGCTTTTAGAAAGATTCTAATTCTCAGGGAAATTATAATTGTTCTATCCTTTTTACCCTTGAGAAGTTTTTATGGTAAAGTATAAGAAATAAAGAAACTAAAACATGATTATATTAGATATGTATGCTTGCATGTTCTCAAATTAATAAAAATGGAAAGAATGTTTTACAATGAAGACAGATATAATTCAGCAGATTGTCATTAGGATGACCATTGTATTTAATTTCTATGTATATTTCCTTTTGTAAGAATGACAGTGGGCTTAGATCAGTGAAAATGATATAAGTCAAATATCACTTCTCTGAAAACTCTCTACAGTCCTCTGGAATATGAGATGGACACTGGATATTGTCAGGGAAGGATGTGATTCTTTACTCCCAGAACCAGCAGTAACAGGTTAAAAGCTGTTTTCATTTTGCCTCTGGAGAAAGAACAGGGTGACATGAAAACATGAGAGTTTCCAATCTTATCATCAGTTTTCAGGATGAATATTTTATGAATTTTCTATTGATGAACACCCCTCCTTGTTCCTGGAGGAATAATTACTGTTGTAAGAAGCTGATAAAATTGTTGGGTTTTCTTTTCTTTTTATTCAAGTGAAGATTCCTTGAAATCCAATATTCTCTGCAGATGAATTCCGTTCTAAGATTTAAAGTATGGGAAGTCTGATATAGCATGGAAGACTAAAGGGCTGTTGCCCTTCTCTTTCTTGCAGCCCCTCATCACCTTGGACAGCAGCATCTCTTTCACATTCCTTGCAGAGGGAACCAATACCATCACTGTACAGGTAGCTGCTGGGAATGCCCTCATCCAAGACACAAAAAATATTGCAGTTCATGGTAAGCCCTGAACATGGTCATGTGACACTCCCTTCTCCTCAGGCAGATCCCCCCTCAACCCTGGAGATAACCATGTAGTGCTTAAAATTCCCCAAGAAAATGATTTATGTTCACAATAACCATTTAGATCTACCTCCTACAACGATCCTGGAGGGATTGAGGTTAAAAGATAAACAGATAACAAGCAATCTTTTGTTGTCCCTTATGGTATGCCTTGATATGTTTTAGCTTCTCATTAGACAGGGACATGTAGTGTAGGTGAAGGAACATTGCATTGGAAAGACCACAGAAGGATTGAGGTCTGATGTGTTGTTAAGGTGTTACAGTATGTGTGCAGCACTCCCTCTGTGAAATGGGAAAAGTGATCTCCAAAGCTGGAGAAGCAATTCTCCCCACTCTTGTAGAGCTCATAAGTCAGGTAATGAAATGGCCTACACAGAACCGCTGTGGTTATTCTTTTTCTTTTTCTTTTTCTTTTCAATTGCTGGCTATTGTAGTATCATTGTCTGTAAAAGCTTTATAAGAAGCCTAAAAATAAGCTTCTGTTGCAATATGCATTTTTATATATAACATGAAAGTAGAAGGAAAACTTTCTATGAGAATGAAGAGCATTCACAGGAGAGGTTAGAACTGAGGGTAGTGTTATATGGGGAGAGATGTGCTGAAAGCGTATGCCTCTATGAAAATGTCCTTGTGAAACCCAGTACCATCTACCATGAATATGCCAGTAAAAGTGAATGTAAGCGAAAGGCAGGGAAAGTGGTAAGTGGGGTGGTTACCATGTTCTAAATCCTGGAAAGTAACTCACAGTTACTATGTTGATCTTAAATTAAACTAATGATGTTCATTGCCATTCCACCAAACCTCCCATAAGTTCTTAGACACAGCCACTCTCACCACGATTTTCTAGAAATTTATGCTACCGTAGGTGAGCCTCTGATCCAGGGCACATATATATCTTCAGCCTTGCGCTAGTGAGTTCACTGTCAAATGGTCACTCCGGCTCTTTGTTAGGAACTGAAGTAAATATATTTATTGAAGTGTGAATTTTATAGGAAAAAGTGATGTATATCAGGAAAACTTGTCTTCATGAATTACCACCAAGTGGCTAAACTACTATAGTCACAAACCGGGTCAAGAAATTGAGCATTATGTGTGCCTACATACAAAGTTTAGCCTGCTTTCCTCTTCTGTAAGGCTGCTTCCAGCATGGTCAAAAGCAGAACTAAAGGAAGAAGTGAAAAGTGTCTGTTCCAGCCAAGCCCTCGTTGTTCCACTTTGGGCTGGCTCTGTGGGAGTCCGCCTATAGGCACACAGGCCTCCTCTTGGTCTCCTGCTTCTCTTTCATTTAAGCCAGTATTCTTTATGGGAACTAGCAACATTAGCTAGAGCACAAAACTACTTCTCGTCATTAGAGTTCACTTTATCAGAAGTCAAAGGAGAGACTGTGAAAATAAGGACTGAGAGCTGAAGCCATGGGAAAGAAGACACCTTGTTTAAGGTGCATGGCTGCGGGACCTCTCACCCATCACACCCCCTTATTTTGCCAGCCTCATTTGCATATTCTGTCTCTTTACAGAATATTTCCAGTCACAGCTCTTATCATTCTCCCCTAATCTGGATTACCACAATCCTGACATCCCTGAGTGGAGGCAAGACATTGGGAATGTCATCAAGAGAGCACTGGTCAAAGTAAGTTTTCTATATGTATGTTAAGTCCTTGTGAGCGATGGAAGGTGGATGTTGCCCCAGTGGCTATCCCAAGTGTTTTTGAGACAGGGTCTTAATGCCTTTAATGGACTAATGAGGGAAAACTAGATGAATCTGAACTGACTTTATGCGTTTATTTGTTCTTTGTCCATGAATAGGACCTTCTTAACTGGGTGCTTAGGTTCGCTAAACTATCACTTTGCCATACATACCATTCAAAAGACTACAGGGCAGGAAGCAGCATTTCACAAGGGAAATATAGCTGTAAATGTAACAGGAGGTTGTATTGGCCTCAGTGAAAGAGTTTCATTAACTATTCTGAGAACTCTGCACTAGAATACAATAACAAGTAAAATGCAGAAGTTTAAGTGGAGAAGTAAGTCTAATGGACCATTAGTTCCATGGTAGAGGCATAACTAGCAACTCCAAAGGGCCCTGAGAAAAGTGTTGCTCCCCTTATCCTGAGAGGTGCAAGATTATAGACTTGCAATTTAATGGATGCTTCTTGAACTATTGGAATGGTTCTGGAATGGATTTTTGAATTGTTTTTCAAAGTATATAAGATAGACAACAGGGAGGGGACTCTATCTTTTATGTGCATGAAAGCCAAGCTTTCTCGAAAGAGTTCACCATATTGTAGAAATGACATAGAATTTGGTGCGGCCAATCTATAACTTATAGACATAGAGTAGGTAAAGTTGGAGTAGAGTGACTATATCATGTTGTGAAAGGTCTTAGGAGCAAAGTTGTAGGTAGCAAAAGATGTGAAAGTATAACACCTTATTAAAGTAAGAACATGCTGTCAGTAGATGTCTGTTCCAGGTACCTATTACAGTGGCACTGCAAAGGAAAGGCTGCAGGGGTAGTAAGGACATACAGTGTGAGATTTCACAGAAGATACGAGGGTAAAAGACCAGTGTGGTTGCGTAGAGCAGGGACAATGAAGCCCAAAGTGGAGAGAATAAAAAGGCTTGCTAGGAGATTGAATAATAAAAAATACTAAGAAATATAATAATGGTGGGAAGGAGAGAGAAGCCTTCTGATACCAAGGATAGATAGAGAATATCCTTGCCATTAACCACGTGGGGACTATGTAGGAGACATATTCTTGGGGACCAGCAATGGGTTTTGCTCTCTTATATGAGTTTGGAGCAGAACACGAGAAATGATTGTGTGAACACTACTAGGAGAGTTGTTGATATGGGTCTGAAGGTCAATCTGGAGGTCAAGGATCAGGCTGAAGGCATCAGGCTCTAGAGGTCATGTGTTTCACTCAGGAGGACAGTGGGACAGGGAAACTATGATGGCTAATACTCCTCCAAGAAAAAGGATTCAGGGAACGACATAGAAAAGGACTAACAGAAAGGAAGCAGAATAAGTTACTGAGAATGGTTTCAGAGAATTCTCGCAGGAGGTATCTGGAAAGGCAACTTCAGATACTTCTTATGAAAAGGTTGTTCATAAATAAGAAAACAAGATGATTGTATATACTGTTTTAGTCTATTCAGGCTACTGTAGATTAGGTGGTTTTTAAATGACAAAAACTTGTATCTCACAATTCTGGAGGCTAGAAGTCCAAGATCAAGAAACCGGTAAGAGCCCAATTCATAGATAAAATTTTCTCACTTTGTGTTCATGTGATAGAAAAGGGGCAAGGCAGCTCCTTGGGATCATTCTCATAAGGGAACTAATCTCATTCATGAGTATTCTACCCTCATGGTCTAATCACCTCCACAGGCCCTACCTCCCAATGACATCACATTGTTGATGAGACTTCAAGCATAAAACTTGTCATGGGTGTGCACAAATATTCAGATTATAAAATACATCTTTGACCATGCCATCCAGAATCTGTCATATTTTATATGCCCGTAGTTATTAAATACATACCAGCTATTGAAGAAACAACCTGGAGATTATTTGTCTGTTGGTTTCTAGGCTTTAAATCTCAAAGAGGACAGACCACTCAGTCATACATGACAGAATTAAGTCACTGCAGAAAGATAGCCCCAAGGTTCCTCCATGATCTGTGACTGACCCTTCCTGAGATGTCTATTCCCTGAAACAAGGACCACATCAGCCAAGGCACTGATGGGGTCACCCCTTTACTCCACTGGGTGCTCCTCAGCATTTTGTTCTATACTTGGAGATTGTGACCTCTGGCTGGTAAGGATTTAGTCTTCCTGTCCCATGTGCTTGGATGCAGAGACTTCTACCTACTTTGAGAGAGTACCTGCTTGCAGGACGCCTGTCAAACCACCCCATTGGAACTCTGAGACAATGCCTTCGTGGTTGGTGGATTTTGTAGACTTGATTGCTGTTTCCTTTCTGGCTCTCTTGTTTCTTTATAATGTCCCTGAATGTTAGCTCCCATCATTAAGCCTAGTTCTACATAAGAATTAGAGCTCAGCAAATGGGAAACAAGCTCTTCCATTTCTATTCAACTCAGCAACTGTTCATTGAGTTTCTACCATGTCAGGCAACTCTGAAACAGTGAGGAAGCCTCAGAAACTTCCAGCAATGTTGGGACAAGCACACATTCACACATTCAGAATGCAGCTATTCTAAGTGTTTATTCTTGTGGCCTTGGGTGCTCAGTATCATTTTATACCTTGTCATGTGATTGGACTCATTTTCTTAATCTTTGAATGCTTGAATTTTCCATTTATTTCTCATTCTAAATAATATTGTGTTTTTTTTTTTCACATATGGCTTTTCTAATATTTTGGATATTTAGGACTAACTCACCAAGTTACAGTTACTGCCTGAAGACTACAAACATTTTTATAGCCTTAAATGAAGTTTTTTGGAAAACATATTGATGATTGGCATAAAATTACTTTCCTGTTATCAGCAACAAACAAATGTATCCCTTCACTGAAGACACACGGATATTAGCAACAAACTTAAAACATTGCAGGTTTAATGAGAGAAAGCAAGCCTTGCTGTGTTATTCTAATTTGTATTTCCCTCTGTTTACAACTGCTTGTTCCTCATCTGTAGCCAGTCTGTTCAGGTTTGAACCCGTGCTCAAGGATTCTCATTGCAGAGAAGAAGTAGAAAATATTTGCTCCCAGCAAATAATGTTTTGAAAGTCATTTGGAATCCCCTTTTACTTTCTGTAAAAATACATATGAGAGTAATCTACGGATTCTTTACTTAGCAGCTCTAGGGGGAAACAGACGTGAAGTCTGAATGTTCGTTGGAGTCTGAAATGTTCCAGTGGGCCCGCACGCCTTTAATCCCAGCACTTGGGAGGCAAAGGCAGGCAGATCTCTATGAGTTCAAGGCCAGCCTGGTCTACATAGTGAGTTCCAGGATAGCTGGGGCTATAGAGAGACCCTGTCTCAAAACAACCAGAAAAAAAAAACAAAAACAAAAAAACAACCTCACGTGGACCTCATGGCTATACATTCTCTGCTCCTGGTTACTGATGTGGGGACAATTGGGCCCAGAACATCGCTCTTTGCTCTAAACATTCTGCAGGTGACCAGTGTCCCAGAAGAGCAGATCCTCGTGGCTGTGTTCCCTGGCCTCCCCACTTCAGCAGAACTTTTCATTCTCCCACCTAAAAACTTGACAGAGAGGAGGAAAGGCCACGAAGGAGATCTAGAGCAAGTAAGTGAAGAATTCTTGACTGGGACATCTGCCGCCATACCAAACCAAACCCTGAGTTAGTGCAAAGCTGTTTCTAGTCAAAGAGGCAGAGCAGATTGCTATTGTATGGCACTTGGCCAAACATCTGGGATTTTGAATAATAATAAACCTTATGCAGAATAAATGAGGAAGGGGCGACATCCCTGGCATCATCTATTCCAGTGGTTAGCATCTGTACATGTTAATCATGTGTCCCTCCCAAGGACCATTCTGAGTAGCGAGGGGGCAGAGAGAGGGAAGAAATGGGATTACAAGGGAAGAAAGAGACAAGTAGGCAGATAGAGGTACAGATAGAGAGAGGCCAGGACTTGTGTTCTTGTTTCTCTGTCTGTTAATGGGAATGTGTGCTTCATGTTTTTAAACTGCATGAACCAGAGATCCTGATTAATTTAAATTCCACTTCTGGAGAGAAAATGAACTCTTTTAAAACACATGTCTTTGGAGAGAGATGGATTGCCTCTCTGGCCTTGACTAAAGAAGTAGTATTTCCAAAGGGGGTTGTGATTTACTTTCTTTGCTAATTGGACACATAGTTCCTGTGATCTGTACGCAATCCTAGAAGCCAAGGGGGGATGCAACTCGAATGTTTCCCCCTTTCGCTCCTACTCCCACTGGGATGTTGCCTGCATTGTGTCACCCTTTCCTCCTTCTCATGATACTAAGTCAGGAGAAGTGGAAACTAGCAGAGACAGTCTGCTGGAAGTCACTGTGACTCAAACATAATTGTTCCTCTGTGGCTTAACCATGGATCAGACTCCTGCATCTTTTCGGTTCCCACCTGGCCTGAATGTCGCCCATCTCCACATGCATTCACAGTCCTCAGAGAATACAGCTGCTATTTTCCTTTTTTTCTGGACTGAAACAATTCTTTGTATCACAGGGCCGCATGTTAAAGTGGTACAGAAATAAATTCATTTTCTCAGTGCACATATCACTCTTCTAAGACTTTGTTATTCTGAAATGGCAAGTGGCATGCATGAACTATATTTGGAAGCTACAATATCCATCCATTTAGATAAATAGGTAATTATAAGAATGAAAGCATCTGTGATATTAAGGCATGTACAGGGAGATAAGACTTAGGGACAACAGCCGAAGTTTGCCTTGGCTTTCATGTGGGAATTACAGAGTGATTAAATCAATGCTATGTGTTCTGAGACTTGCTGGGGAAATGTAAAGAAGAAAATTTATTCCATAAAGGGAGGCAGACTCTGCTTTGATGTTTGCCTCCTATTGTTTCTGAGATAGAAACTGCAGAGCATGGAGCTGAGATTCTCCATGTAAAGTACATTAAAGTAATCCGGGCATGATGAGTTGACATTCATTCATTGAACCCACAACAGGTCTCTGGTTATAAAGGCAGGGATGAAAGAGCCCTAAGCTAGGAGTGGAATGATACACTATGTTAGAATTCTTATTCATGGAGTGTACTAGAAAGTGCCTTTCTTTTTTGACACACTTCTTTCTGTCTTCTCATTTTCTTGGTTTCAAAGAGCTCTGTGGGCTGTGGGAAACAAGTTGATGATAATGTTCCAGTATCTCAGTCCACAAATGAAATTGTTTATATTTTTCCAATTGACTTACGGGGGAGCAATTGCACATGGCATGGCTTTCCGTGAAGCCTCTCTCTTGTTTTCCAGATTGTAGAGACATTATTTAATGCTCTTAACCAAAACTTGGTACAGTTTGAGCTGAAGCCAGGAGTTCAGGTCATTGTGTATGTCACACAGCTGACATTAGGTAAGTGCCCACAGGGAGTTGGGGGACATTGGGATGGTGCACTACTATTTGGGATTTAAAAAAAAAAGGGGGGGGGATGCGATTATCTCTAAAGCCTGAAAAATGCTCATAATGCTGTAATTGTATGGCCTTTGTAAGGGATAATGACTGAGAAAAGTTCACCATGACTTTCTGAGGGTATCCTGATAGACTTGGCAGGAATACTTTCTTAGAAGGGCTTTCTTCATTAAATTTTAAAAAATATTTAGATCCTGGGTCTGTAGAGATGGCTCAGCAGTTAAGAACACTGAATGTTCCTGCAGAAGACCTGGTTTTGAATCCCAGCACCCACATAGCAGCTAACAACTGTCCATAACTCCAGTCCCAGGGGATCCAACAGCCTCTTCTGTCTTCCGGGGGCATTGCAAGACACGGGAGCACTTACCTACATGCAGGCAATACACGCATACGCATAAAATTTAAAAATAGATAAAAAAATTAAAAATATATTTAGACCCATTTTTTTCTCTATCTTCTTTATTTGTATTTGCAAAGGTTGGGATTACAATGGTGATACTTGGATTCTTCTAAGTTGTTGATTCTATGATTCTGTGAGTCTTGGTTGGAAGGTTAGCTCAGGAAACTTTAAGATTCCAGTTCATTTATAATGTATGAGTGCAAGTAGGAACAGAGGCTAGCTAGCATTAGCTAGTTGTTTAAAAAAAGGAATAAAAAAGGTCTGTCCCATCGAACATTTACTTGTAGCTCTCTGAGAGAATTTGTTAAAATATTTTATTATTTTAATTTCTTTTATGTGTATGAGTGTGTTGCCTGCACGTATCACATATCAGAAGAGGATGTCAGATCCCCTGGAACTGGGATTACAGAGAGTTGTTAGCCTCCATATGGGTGCTGGGAATCAAATCTGGGTCCTCTGCAAAAGCAAATAGTGTTTTTAAATGCTGAGCCATCTCTCTAGTGCCTGAAAGTGTTTGTTAAGTGAGGCTTAGTGTCAGAATTTTCAAATTAAACCATCATGAGCCTTCCCACTTAGGGTAGGCATACCAGAACAATGAGGAAGAGGAGAGTGAACACCTGTATTAGTGTTCAACCCAAATTTGTCATTGTGCTGCCAGGTTCTTAGACTAAGACACAGAGAACTTAAGATCTCTTAGCCTTCAGCTAGTCACATGCTGCTCAGTGTGTATCAAAACCAGCAAGTTTCCCCAGTTGCACCAGAGGAGTTTATGTTTCCTTAAAAATGTTGTACATGTGAGTTCAAGACCAGCCTGGTCTACATGGTGAGTTCCAGGACAGCTGGGGCTATAGGGAAACCCTGTCTCAAAAAGACCAAAAAAAAAAAAAAAATGTTGAACAAGGAACTGGAGAACTAGCTCAGCATTTAACAGCATTGGCTGTTCTTGCAGAGGACAATGGTTTGGTTCCCAGTACCCACATGGTGGCTAACAACTGTCCATAACTCCAGTTCCATGAAATCCAACACTCTCTTTTGACTTCTGCAGGCATTGTAAGACATAGGTGCACTCACATATGTCCAGGTAATACATTCATATACAGAAAATAAAAATATAAACAAAATAATTTTTAAAGTGTTTAACATTGTTCTCATTGTTTAAGCCAGGTTTCCTATACCCAGATACCATGCAGGGCATTTGAAGACCGGAAGTCAGGGTGGAGACAGTTGACCCCCTTTTTCTGATGGGTAGACCCTCAGCTACTGGCTTCTTAGTAAGCACATCTCTTCTCCCTCCCAGCTCCATTGGTGGACTCCAGCACGGGGCACAGCAGCTCTGCTATGCTTATGCTCTTATCAGTGGTGTTTGTCGGCTTGGCTGTGTTCCTGATCTACAAGTTTAAAAGGTATGTGCTTTGTCGATCAGGTCTTGTCTTCAGACTTGGTTCATAGCAGATGGCTCTTCTTATGCCCAGCTTTCCTCAACTCATTTCAACAATGTGACATCTTCATTCTTCTTGAAGCTCTCCTTGACACTGGAGAAAAATCAGGAATGACTGAGGACCGGGGAAAGAATGGGTGTAAGAATCTGACTTGTGTTCAGTTTATAGATGCATTGACTCAAGAAAATGAAGGCTGGCTCTGAAATCAATTTATTATCCTAAAGAGAAATGTAAAATGTTTTTGTACTTAACCCAAAAGTTCTAAAGTATGGTTTCAGATATTCAGGAGGTATTTTTATATAAACCAACACCAGCACAGAGTGGTTAAATAGCAAAAATGCAGCTGCAACTCTCTCTCTTTCTCTCTCTCTCTCTCACACACACATACAGTGTGTGTGTGTGTGTGTGTGTGTGTGTGTGTGTGTGTGTCCCTGTCCCTGTGCCTACATTTCTTTATCTCAGGTTGTAACTATCAAGTATCTCTTTTTAAATTTGTATCTAGGGGTGGATCTCTGTGAGGTCAAGGCCAGCTTGTTCTACATAGTGACTTTCAGGCCAGCTGGGGCTACAGGGAGACCCTGTCTTAAAAAGACAAAAATAAAATTATATGCTAGGCACACTGAGCATATAACTCAGTTGGTAAAGTATTTGTCTAGCCTGTTCATACACTAAGTTTGATGCCCAGAACCACACAAACCAGGCATGGTGATACATGACTACATTCCTACTATTTAGAAGGTAGAGACAGGAGGATCACAAGGTCAAAATCATCCTTAGCTGCACAGGAAATTTGAGGTCAGTCTGGGTCACATGAGACTGTGTCTCAAACTAATTTTTTTTCCAATGAAAAGAGAGAAAACGTTGTGCACATCACCTTTACTCTTCTTCACGTCCTGCTTCTAAGAAATATTCAAGCAAAGAAAACACACGTGTTCCGAAATTATTTTTGAAGGCCCCAGGAAGGGTAAAGTGACATGATACTAAATGAAAGCATGAAATTTGCTTTTTCAATTATGCACTGATATTCAAATTATCACATATACAGACTGGAAGTAGGAATTCTGAAAGCAGACTTAGTTTTAACTCCTGACATTTCTGCCTTGGGTGATTGTATTTACTTCTCTAAGGCTTAGTTTTCTCATATGTAAAATGTAGAAAACAATAATAAGGTATAGTTTTGCTATATGAATTAGACAAAATAATATCTATAATCACTATATACTAATTAATCAAGAAAACTAAGGTATTATCAATAACAAAGAACCAGAGCTGCATTCCAGAGATGCTTTCTGGAATCATAAATACTGGGTTCTCAAAATTTATGCCAGTGACATAGAGTTGTATTTCTTAGGAAACCTCAATAAAAGGAAAACAGCTATTAGGTGAGCTTTTAAAGCATCATTTGGTATAGGAGTGTTTCCTGGACCTGAAGATAATCTTTGTAGGTATTGGAAGAGATTAGTAGTGAGTAGACTTATCCCTCTCTGCATTCTTTTCCTTCACTGTCTATCTCAGTTACTTGAAAAAAAGAAAAACAACAATTTTTTTTTTTATTCAGTACATAGCTGAGTGTTAGCAGTAAGGGCGAGAATCTTTCAACACTCTCCTATGCCCACTAGGACAGACTGGATTTACTTGGCTAGCCAACTTACAGACTTGTATAGGAGTTCATGTGATTTTGGATCAAGGTGGGTTGACCCATATATTTGTTTGTTTTGAATAGATGAAAAACTCTTAGGGCGCAATTAAAGAGAAAAATTTTGACGATGGATAGTGATACCCTTTTATAGATACATTAAAATTATATGCAAAGAGGACCATCACTCTTTCAAAGATATGACTGAAAATTGCTGGGTTGTGAGGATTATGGTGACCACCTATGTTGAATATCAACTGATGAAAATGTGTTGCCCCTGGTTCTAGTACTCTATGGTTGCTGAAGGCGAGGGCCAATAGAAGTTCTGTAAGGATCAGTTTTACTTGTGACACGACTTCAAATTAAAGCAGGACACCCTGTACCTTAGATATTTTCTCTTCTTCTATAAATGTTGATAAACTCCGTAGACAATCAACTTATAACTTATAATTTTGTGTAATTCCACTCATGAATCTGTGCCAGGAAAGGACATCTCTGAACTATCTTACCTGTGTGGCTCTCTAGTATCAACCAAACCTTTTTATGTCTCTGACAGTGGATTAATGGCAGTCAAACTGGGTAAACAGCAATAAATCAGAAGTTAACCTTTCCTTTCCTATCCTACTTTTCTTCATGTTTTCCTCCTTAATGTTCCAGCCCTTTGGTTAATATTATGTTGAACTGTCTTTTATTTCTTTGGTGGTTTCCTTTCCTTTCCGTCCTGTGGAATCTCAATGGTAGCTGAATCAGGGATGCCCAGCAAACAAACAAGGAAAGACCAGGCTCTATGCCTGGATCCCCAGGTGCCCTGTGTCTCTTTTATTATCATCTGATAGAGTTTTCTGCAGTTATGAAAATGCTTTATAATCTCTACTAATATTGTAGCTACTTTTATGACAGAGGATCCAAATTCTTAATTTTAAATTTAATAATAATGCAAATAATTCTGAGTAAAAGGTTTGAACAGTACAGAGTAGATAATGCAGACAATTGTTTTATTTCTAGATTATTAGCTGTGATAAGTTTACACAAGCAAAACTTTCTGTGACTGCTAGCATTAACTAATTTAAGCATGCATGCATTCATTCAACAAAACATATCGAGTGTCTACTATGTTGTAAGCACTGGAAGCTATCCAAAATGATCACTTAAGAGGAGAGTTGTTAAGATTCTTAAACACCCTTTAAGTCGATACTACGTTGCCTCTCACATTCCATCTCTATTTTGGATACTAACTATTGTTTACAGATGTCTTAGCAATGTAGCTGAAAGCTCATTGTGAAATGAATTTTACTTTCTGAAAACAGCTCAACAAGAACTGAGGTCTCAAACTGTACATCTGCTTTTTCTGGTTATCCAAAGAATCATTTGCACCCTTACATTTCTTTCTGTCTTCTCTCCAGTAGGGTTTTTATTATAGTTCAAAGTCTGCTTTGCTCATAGCTAGAGTAAACGAACATAAACAGCTTGTTTTTTGTTCGTTGGCTTGCTCCTTTGGGGTTTATCCATCTTATTCGTACTATTTAAACCTGAATGGATGTATGCCCAAGACACATCCCTTGAACTCTTCGTGGAACTATGAGATTCAGAATTGACTGATGATATCCTCAAAGTTCTAGAAGTGGATGTGTTAAGGAAATGAAAAAAAACCTCACGGCGTTTTATAGTGCTGCAAATTGTGATATAAAGTTCAATCCCTTCCAGCAATCTTTTTAAAAAAGAGATGAAAATATGTCTATTTTTAAATGTGTTTTTCAGAGATTGACATGAACGGTCGTTGTAAGGGCTAATGCATCTACGTCCAAACACAGGTGTCTTTAGCCGAGCAGGAAGGAAAGGTGGTAATTTCTAGTTACAACTCTGAAGTGTGTGCATTTGCGTGATCGGGAATGCTTTGACTGCCCACAGCACAATATTACAGTTGTTCTTAACATTCATGAGAATTTGTACTTTTTAAAAAATTGAAACCAATCTTTTTCAATCTAAGGTAAATCTGTATTTAGATAAAAAAGAAAGTAAGGGCTAGTATGATATCTTGTTGAGACAGGGTCTCATGTTTCTCAGACTGGTCTTGAATTCACTGTGTAGCTGAGGATGACCCTGAACTGATCTGCTTGCCTCCATCTCCAAAGTGCTGGAATGATAGACATGCACCTCCATGGAGGGTGTATAAAACACTGTGCACTGAACCAAGAGCTGTGTGCTATCTAGACAAGCACTCTACAAATTGAACAGACCCTGAAGTTTTCACTCTAGCATTAGTAGAGAATATAGGTAGCTGCCACACATAGATTCTGTATATTTAAAGCCTCATAAGTTGCTTTAGACTGGTGTTGACCAGAAGCAAACATGGGGACACATAACTTTATGCATCGAGAGAAAACATTAAAAACATGAAAACCGAACATAGAGGAAAGATGTAAACCATGGTATATTTTCAACCTAGTCTTTAGGGAAAACCTTACTTAATGTCCCCATTTTGGCCTCATTTGCGGTTGAAGAAGAGTGAAGGATATGCAAGCATAAAATTCTTGTTGAGTAATACTAGGACAGCAGCGAGGGGCCCCTTTAGAAATACATGGACTATTCTGTCTTGCAGTGGATGCTGGAAGACGTTTATTGGTTCCTGAAGTTTTAGAATTTAGTTCAGTGTCTCTATCATTTGACGAGGTAAGAGAAGTATCTTTTGGACATGATATTCCAACATAAAAATATAGTCTTTGTATTGAAAATCGTAGTTTAACAGAATGAACTGAGCATGGGCTTTGAATAACAATTTATCCATTCAGCAAATGATAATGAATGTAAACTACATCCTGTGCACTGTGCTAAATGCAAAGCAGTGGACATAGACCACTTAGACCTTGCCCACAGCAAGCTTTCAGTCTAGTAAGAAAGACAGAAACCAAGTCAATAAATATTGCTTGTTATATCATGGTAAGCCTATACCTTATTGATTTATTTTGTAGAATTTGTCCTATAATAACATATTAAAATAGAGGTGATTGAGTATTTGAGGAAGGCCTCTCAGAGAGGACATGTAAGCCAAACTTTGAAGGATAAGAATGAAAAATTACCATAAGAACAGCAGGTGGAAGGGAAGCTTGATACAGCAGAGCACTGGTTCCATGTCAACCCCCAAGAGTCTTTTGTGTAGATTCTTACAACTCAACATTTGAATCTAGAGGTACTCAGTTGTCTTGGTATCAACAGCTCATGAGAACTTGGCAGAATGCAGATTTTTGAAAATATTTAATTTATTTTTATTTTATGTATATGAGTATATTGCCTACATGTTGTGCAATGTTGTAGAAGTCAGTAGAGGGTGTCGGATTCCCTTGGAACTGGAATTAAGGACAAAGGTTCTTAGCCACCATGTGGGTACTGGGAATAGAACCCGGGTCCTCTGCAAGAGCGGTCAGTGGGCTTAACCACTGAGCCATCTCTCCAGTCCCATAAGAATGCAGATTCTTAATCCCAAGCTGACCTGCATTGCATCTCCAAACCTACTGCTTTTCTGTCTTTCAAGGACGTTACTTGGCTTCTCCTAATCCTTCCTTTAATACTCTCCATATCCCCAAAATGGAGCTGTTATTCCTATTGAACAGATAAGGAAACTATCAAAATATTTCATATATTTGACTCACAGGTATTGCTCTGAAAAGTGTTCTAGTGGCCATGAGTCCATTATTTTGGGCTGTTCATAGAAAAGGCAGTAGGAATCAATTACATGTGTGCCAAACCTTTCATTTCCTTCTGTATGTTGTCATGAGTCTCAAAGTCCAGCTGTTTTACAAATATAGTAGGTAAATATTTTCAGGCTTTAATAAACAATGGTTCAACACATTGCCCTTTTGTTGTGTCGATCTCCCTAGACATCTGGGTCTCTGGCTGGTCTTATGTCCTTGACCTTGGACTCTTGGAATGGCCAGTACTTTCCCCTGACATTGGCTCTTTCTTTTAATAACTTTTCCTCACCTTATCTCCAAGGACTTTAACTTGCCTACAGTAGACATGCCCTGTGATCTCGCTCTAATTTTGTTCCTACCCCATGTAGGAAAATCCCCTGGATTAACATCTATGCTCAAGTACAACATGACAAGGAGCAGGAGATGATTGGGTCAGTGAGCCAAAGTGAAAATGCCCCCAAAATCACACTCAGTGACTTCACAGAGCCGGAGGAGCTGCTGGACAAAGAGCTGGACACCCGGGTCATAGGTATGCGTACCTGTGCCACCAAGCTCAGGGTCCTCTATCCTCCCCTGAACACTTGGTCAGCAGCCCACATTGTATGTGCCATCTGACAGGCCTGTACTGCAAGGCTGGGAAAAGCCACTGGTTATAGTGGTATAATCTTGTTTTAAAACTTATCTGCCACCCCTAACCACAGACTGTTTTTGTCATTTAGAAGTTAGTAAACATGGGAAGCATTGGGGTCACAGCGATGAAAAAGTGAGCTGTTCATTACTATTGGACTAGTCTACAAGCCACAAGTAGTATATGACCTTAGCAACACTTATATGAATACAGTCTGTGGCATCAGACTACCTTTTGCTTGACCAATTGATAAACCATGTGAGTGCTCTGTGCTATGTACTCCTCACCTGTGGAATGGGAATCAGAGTACCAAGATTTTATCTAATTTCCACATACTACCTTGGAGTCTATCCTGAAATTGCTCTGATAATTCAATTATGCAACATAATAGCACAGTGCCCGCCACACAGAGAGTGTTTGCTATGTGCCAGCTCTTGCTTTTATCAGCAGGACAGTGTAAAATGGCTGTCATTTATTGGTTCTACCTATGTGTTATTATGAGATGTGAATGAAAAGCCTATCAGTGGACAGGAAAGTCCAGGTCCCTTATTAGTACATATTAAGCACCCGTTCCAGGCAGTTTGGTGTTCAGCAGTGAATAAAACTGAGATCTTCATCCTTGTGGAACTTACCTATTTTCTTCTCTGTGTCTTTTCTCCCCTGCAGGAGGCATTGCCACCATTGCAAACAGCGAAAGCACAAAGGAGATCCCCAATTGCACTAGTGTTTAATACCAACAAGCCACGTGGTCACATACCTTTCTGACTTTTTATTTTTGATGACTACTATTACTATTATTATGGAAAAATGAAAACGTCTTTTTTACCTTTTGTTTACCAAGGGTCCCTTCATAAATATCAGGCAGATGCTTAGCTTTGAGAGAAAAAAAAATGCCTTCATATGTCCTAATGCTGATCACAATGGGACAAAAAGAAAACATGGCTGTATTTGTGCTAAGGGCAAATAATACATCTTCCCACAGCATCCTTCCTTTTTTCTGGCATTGGTAGAGCAAAGACATTTTCTTGTGTCCTTCTGTCACTTTTTAAAAGTTGAGTTGGCTCTTTGTTATTTCCTATTGCCTCTCATCACCCCCTACACACATCACATCACATACACCATAGACCATTTCCCAATTCAATTGCAGGAAGTTGGTTGTGGGGGAGTGGATTTAGCTGCTGAAAGCACACACAACTTTCCGAAAGAGGCCCTGCCTCCTGCATGCCAATAGTGAGGCTACAGATGGCTTATTGTATATAACTATGATGTAAATAGCTTTTTATTTCCTAAAAAATAATTTAATGTTTAGTAAAAAAGAAAACAGAAAAAAAGAAAGATGCGTGTGTTAGCTTACACACTCACCCTCAGAGCTGACTGCCCCCTGACCTGCTTGATGTGTTGGATTCTGGATGCTCTCTAACTGTCTGTCACACTCGGCTCTTGCATCTCTGTCCACATCATAGCTGGTTTCTGCTTATGTATATAAAAGGGAATGGGGGGAGGGCTTCTATAGAGCAATCAATAAGGAAGGATTTGTTCCATCCTAGAACATGAGGGTATTTTTCTTCCTATAATGACATAGAAGAAGTCACAAGGACTAATAGAGACTTCAAACTGAGTCTAGTCAGTTGGATGAAACTTTTCCAAAAGAAAAAAGAAGCGTTGACAATATTTATCAGCCTGAGCAAACAGACTTCTCTAAAGAAGCAGGTAATGACTGAAGACCCTGGTCTGTTTCTGGTTTCTGATGGGATTCCATGGATATGTGTGGGGCTAATGGTAAATTTCCAGGCTGCTGAGTGCTCAGAAAAGTCCCTGGTCATTACTCTAAGACCAGTGAATGTCTGTTCAGACAAGGAGATCTAGAGAGGCTGGAAGGGAAGTATTCTTTGTGGAATCCTGAGTCCATGCAAACCCTGCTGGTCAAATAGAGGTCTAGCCTTTAATGATATTAGTCAATGATGATTTTAGCAAAGCTGTGCTATTTGCTTGTCAGATGTACACAACCTCCTTAAAGTCAAATGTCTGCCTTCAGTTCCCCTAAGGTAGTTCTTGCCTGTGGGTTGAGTGGCTTTCAAAGGCCACATTTGCTTTCCCAGCACCTCAGCCCTTTAACATATTTAACATGCCAATTTGTTTCAGTAGGATCATTTTCCACCATGCTGTAAGCACTGGTTTATTTTCATGTTCCACCCGAGTGCAATTGTTTTAAAGAATGATATACTATAT